ACCAAGAACTTTGACCTCTCCCCGTATTTTCGCGCGGAAGTTAGGGGCTTGAGGAGCGAATGGTACCGTGTACTTTCTGCTTAGGTGGGGCAGCCCTAGAGCTTCTGCGCATAGTGCGCTCACCGCTTAAATATCGGTTCCACGTGGCCATGATGTGTTTGTGTTTGTGTTTGTTAGTACGAGCATCGACCGCGCCAACCGGCTGACCAATGAAAAGACGTCAGTCTCAGTGCGGTTGAAGACACAAAACACTTGTATCTGCCATGAGCTGGGACCCCGTGAGGGGGCAGCATGGGGTGGGGGGGGGGCGTACTCTTATGTTTTGCATGTCTTAGCGGTTAGACCGTTGACCACGCGTCCTCGAGAGGACGGAGCATTGTTCCCACAGGACCGATCACCGATGGCCAATCGTTCCTTTCTACTTTGCCAAAGGTGGCTCAAAAATGTCTTCCCTAGTCTGTCTATCCTAACGATATCCCTTCCCGCCTTTTCAACCCACCTCCTATGCCCCACTACAGCTACCGTCCTTTCCTCTCTATTCCATGCCTCAAACATCTCCCTGTACGTTCCATCTATTTTTCCCAGCTCAGTCACGTATACTTCCCTCTCCTTCTTGTCCAACGGACATCCCGCGACTACATGAACACGGTCTTCGCATTCGAAGCCGCAATCACATTTGAACTCGTCGTCTTCCTCGTCTACCGTCCTATGTCTTCGTCGACGTTCTCGAAGGCCTACGTCCCCGGTCCTGAATTTGACCTTAAGCTTTGTTCCTGCATCCATTGGTCCATGTAGGTAGTCCTTGAACCCTATTCCTTCCTTCAACATTCCGTACACTTCTAGACCCTCCTTATCCTTGGATTCTTTCTTCAGATTCTGTTCTTCTCTCTCGGCACAAGCAACAGATATCTTCTCCTTGAACCCCTGTAGACCCTCCATTTCCAGCGTTTCATCTTCGTCGATGTCGAGCCCCTTCCATACGTCCTCTACAACCTTGACCCATTCCGTGGGTTGTCTACCCCTCATTTTGTTTGCCCACTTCGCCTCCCATACAATCCTCGGCAACCTCTCCTCTCCCATCCCGCACATGCGATACTGCCATGTCAGCTTCCTCGCGTCTCTTCCCGACCGTAGAGATTGGATCCCCAATTCTGCCCTCACGACTGCATGGGGGAGGCTAAACTATCCTTCGGATCAAAGACAGACACAGTAGCAACAGGAGAAAACTGCACGCGTCTACCAAACCTATTGCCTTGCACTCGAGTTCGTTCACGAGAATACTTTCACCATTATCCTCCTTGTTTTTGCTACCATCATTCTGATCCTCATTTTGACAAGAATCTCTGAGCAATTCTTCCCTAGTCCTACGTTTTTTCTTTTGGGGAAGGTCATCTGGCTCAAACCCTTTGCTCACTTCCACTCCTCCATGTTTTCCTCCTCACTTGTCGTCTTCGTCCTCCTTTCTTCCCTTTCCCTTTCCTTCGTCTCCGCCACTCCCAAAATAATTACGCTCATTACTATCGTTGTCGCAGAGATCCCAACCGATTGGCCCTGGTGGAAGTTGGTCGATCAGTAGCCCATGACGTTTGAACACATCGCGAGTTCGCATCGACAAAAAACGAGCTAGCTCGAAGGTAAACCGTCTTCGAATCCTGTTAGCATGAAAAACTTTCAGGCGAACTAAGACTCCGTAGTCGTCAAAATTCCCCAGTCAAAAAGCTTCGTGCGCCAAGTGGTTGGCGATAGCAACGATGAGTCGATTGGTGCCTTTGCCAAGACCACCATTGGTTGAAAAAGCAGCAGTAAGGAGGGTAGACCTAGACAGGTTGAAAGTTCCTGCATAGTGATTTGCCATACTTGCAGCTCGACCCTCGAGGGCGGATCCTGGCTTTGCATCGACTTGTCGATGCTTCGACCTGCGGATGGGTTGACGAGTGTTACGTCTATAAGAATGGACTTGGTGCAGAGTTCCTCTGCCTTCTCTCCTGCGTGTAATCCTGGGGGGATTACCAAATCCATCTTGTATAGCCCCTTTCCCCTACCAGTGCCTGTGGTAAAAGGGGAAGAATCCTCAACGGCGATGGGCATTTGGCACTCGCGTAGTGTCTTGAGGACTACGCGAACCATCCTGTTATGGAGGATAGGTTGAGACGCCGGTCTTGGTGCAGCCGAGGGAGTGGGCTCGGCTCAAGCGGTCCTTGCATGGTAACAATGCACCTGCACCACAAAGTTTGCCTGTGTCGCAGTCTGCTCGATCGTGACTCCCCAGTACACGANGGTCCTTGCATGGTAACAATGCACCTGCACCACAAAGTTTGCCTGTGTTGCAGTCTGCTCGATCGTGACTCCCCAGTACACGACCGATTGACTCTCGATATAGATCAGGCAGCATTCTTTCATCTGCTGACAACCCTTGCGTTGTCAACCACGACAAAACTCCCTTGCCTTTCGCTTCCTCCAAGCGGATCAATGCCCTCTTCTTTGACACTTCCTCGCCTGCTGCCGTCTGCAAGTCTGTCTCCACCATGTGACGCACTGCTGCATGAAAATGTTTCGAAAGGAGAGCTTGGGCTCCAAAGACTTGGTAGTGTTGACCAACTTCATTTCGGTTGTAGGTAGACGGAAGTTGATGTTCTACGTCAGGGTTTCCATCTTCACTGGGTTTTCCCGCCTTCCCTGCTTCCAACAGGTAAACTCCTTTGAGGGCGGGGGTTAACTCATCACTTTTGGCAAGGTTAGCCCATGACTGCCCAACAGCTTCTTCAAGTGTGTTTTGGTGATAATCTCGTCTAGCTTCTTGAGTGAGTCAATCAGAGGCAATCCTGTCGGAAGCTGGGCAAGCCGGGGTAGACATTGCTCAATTGTGTATCCTGTCGATGCTTGCACTGACTTGGAGAACGCCAGCGCTTGCCCTGCTACAATAGCCGATTCTCGAATGAGAACATTGCTCGTGATTCCTATCCTCCTTCACGCATGGGTAGGTGCACCTGTGCCCGAGCTGTCCCTTGGAAGAAATCTACGTCCTCGCTCTTCGTCGGGTCTGCGCATACTTCACTGTCCGTTGGTATTCTCATGCTGTCGGCCATCTTGCCAAGGACGATCTTACTCATTGCCCACATTATCATGTTGTCATTTTTTCTAGCGGCACAGTTGGTGATAGACGGTGCAATCGTCCTCAGCAGATGAACCAAACGTGGCACACCAGATAAACGCAGCAGTTGATAGCTAGCTTGAGGGTCAAGCGTTACTAGGCGGAGTATCAATTCCGCCGGGTCACCACGGGCGAATTTGGAAACGAAAACTCCTCTGGAACTCTTCTGTCCCTACTGGGATCCCGACTACTAGCATGCCACCTTCAGCAACTGACAGACCAATTTTCGTCCACTGTTTGTTGCTGTTCGTCGTTTGTCAAAGAGGACATACATGCAAAGACCTTCCGGGAAAAGCACTTTGGATTTCACGAGACTGAGCTCAATCCCTTTTTGGGAGAGACTTTCCTGAATCCAATTCGTTACAGTGGATAAGTGTTTGTGTGTGTTTTCGTCCTGCAGTTTTCGTTATGGCGACAATCCTCCCATTTTTCGTGGTGAGACGTGTACTATTTACAGCAGTACAATGTGCAGAGTATACAGAGTGCACGAAAATAGAGCAGAAGTCACTGGGTGGGGGGATTTTTGTGGTGTTTCGGCAGTCAGTTCAAGAAATTTGCGGCGTATCAGTCGGTCGTGCATGCAACACGTTCGCGTGCGATAGACCAACATATACGATAGCGACTGACTGCTGCCCCGGAGATGCCTCTGCTACTGCACTAAACGGCGTGGAGATAATGTGTGGGCCTCGAAGCGTCTCCAGCAGTAGACTATAGATGTACAATACCCCATACACACGACCGTCGTCCCGGTGGTCTAGTGGGTAGCTAGCCTCGCAGCCTGATAAGGGCCAGGTCATGGGTTCGAGTCCCGACAGAGAGAGAGAGTTTTTTCCTCACTAAATAAAACCTGGTCTTCTAGGATGAAAGCGACGCGCTGCAAAGAAAGCTCGTTTGTTAGTAGACTAGACTAAACCATAATCGATTTCGTAAGTCGCGAGGGAAGGGATTGCTGTACCCTTCTCGCGATAAAAATACCTCAGGCATGAACCGCAGGAGGGGGTCCAACCCCCCCCTCCTATGTGACCCCGGTTGGGTCGTCTAGCTAGTAGAAGTGGAGGATAGGGGCCAGAGGGGCAGACGACAGAGTCCAATGATGGGAGAAAAAAAAAAAACGACTACCAGGATCATGAACCTGTGCGTATCGCAGGAGTCTGCCGGCCAGATTTTGCGTATCATACAGCAGTTATCGATAATCCCCGGACCAAAAGTGGTACAGCTCGTTGTGGATGACTTGGGTGTGCTCTTTTGCTAATCTCTTGAGCCTGCTGTGGAGGATGATGATGAAAGATCGGCACCCGGCGCAGCACACAGCTTCACTACAAAGTTACAAACCGGGGACAACATATTTTCATCCCCGGGGCCCCGCGAAACGCATCGGATTTTGAATTTACCAGAAGGGGTCAGAGGCGAGAGCAGAGCATGCAGCAGTGCAGTCTGCCGTGTTGTGCTCGAGCACCGAGGGATGGACACGGTGAAACACACGACCAGGAATGGACTTTGCCGCACTTCGGTCGATCAGGAGGGGCGAACCTGAAAACTCCAGACACTCGTGAGATTCGTAGCCCGATGAAACCGGGATGAGCAAGCACATCACCCTCGCTCTATTGCCATGCGAATTTGAATTTGTCTTGTACTGTCTCCCCTCTCGGGACCTTTGTTCACCCTACATAGACAACGGCAGAAGCATAGCTCTTCGGCCTACGTGCTCTCTTTGCTCTCCTTTTCGACTAGAACTGGCAATGCCGACTTCCCCATACACCATCCCATGCATAACGCCCTGCATGGAATTGGCCATTTGAACATTGTGGTGTTTACGATGTCGATCCTACATGTACATAGCTGCGGTGGGATGAGCTACTGGGCTACTCGACTAAAGTAATTGCTGCGCTTGCGTGCAACACAAGTGCTGCCGCATTGTACCCTACATGTACAATTGTAGAGTTCTTCATCATGCAGGGCACACACAAAGATCTCCTCATGCGGTGGGAGAAAACCTTGTGTACAAGTGCTGTGCGCGCTGTAGACTACGGAATCATGATGTGTACACTTGTACTGCTGTACCAATGCTCCCACACACACCGGTAGTCCACCGTTAGTTGACAGTCCCGTCGGTTTCGCTTTTGATTTCGATTACTTCGTTCATTGACGAACGCAGGGCGGCCGAGGTTGTCGGTAATGTCAACCCATGCACGATCCTCGACAGCACATGCGGACAGGTTGCCAAGGTCGCACGCGACTCGGCGGCTGCGGTGGTCGCTCTCATGCGCAATGCTAGCAACCGAGAGCTTTGCCGAGGTTCGGATGAGGAAGCCACGAACTTATGGGAGGCCTTCGATGCCGGATTGCTGGCGGTTCAAGCGCAGCTCGCTAGGGGCTCCGTCTCGTCCCAGGTTTTCCAGACGCAGCTGCTGTCGACTCTCCGACGTGGAGACCCCCGACGTTGCGAGGAGAAAGGCACTGGCAGGCGTCGGGGAGGCGAGTGCCCGCCTGTACCTCTGGCGCTGTATTGGCGCTTGCACAAGCTGGCGCTCTTGCCGCTGTCGCGCCTCCTAGAGGCAAACGAATCGTTGCCTTCGCCCGGGGATCTCGGCTGGCATCGCAGCTGCGAGGACCAGCGAATGTTCTTCGGGGGACTTCACGGGGATTCCTTGGAGGCCATCGTCGAGGACATGAGGGCCCTGGCTGCGCGATCGTCCGGAGGCAAAGACAGGGGTGACTCTCGGCGAGGAGAAGCTGCCGCCCTTGTGTCGGAGGTAGCCACGCACCTCTTCGACTTGGCCTACCGGGAGGGTCCTAGTCGCTCCGGAGGGCCGGCGGATGGAACAAACACAACTGGTGCACTTGCGAGCAGGGCTGCTAGGACAGTCCTTGATCGACTGTGTTGCGACGCGAAGGTGTTCGGGTGAGACCATTTAGTACGTTTTGTTGCTTCGTTTTCAGGCTTATCTCCGCGGTCAACAGCGGGTTATCCACTTGTACTACTCCCCGCCTCAACGTTGCTGAGCTCAGCCCCCCCCCCCCCCCCCCCCCCCCCCCCCCCCCCCCCCCCCCCCCCCCCCCCCCCCCCCCCCCCCCCCCCCCCCCCCCCCCCCCCCCCCCCCCCCC